TCAAACAATTCTTGATTCAGGGTCTTCAAATTGTGTGGGGGGGGAGGGGGGACTACATACTAAAGAGGGTCCAACATTACACTTCAAGAGTACCTTTGAGAAGAATCCAATATGGGCCCGTTGATGCAGTTTGAACTAGTCCAGAGTCCTGTACCAGTCCCTGCTATTCATGGAAGAGAACAACCTTTTCCACATCTATAACTACGCGTCAAGGAATTCAGACCAGAGCTGATGATACAGGTGTTGTCCATTTCGTTTCAGACCTGCCTCAAATGTTTTATCATTGGACAGCAGTATCCAAAGATTGACTTTGAAGCTATTCAACTTTTTAGATCTGAAGGCGCTTTTTTGTTTGTCATTTGCAAGACGATGTCAATCATACTTATGCTCTGACTTCTGATTTGTGTTTCCACCTGCAGTGTCGCCATTCACCTCATTCTAATCGATTCTTTAGTCGTTATTGTCTCACCTGACGTAAAGCATGTTTTAACTTCAATATGTGCCAAAAAAGACCTTGCATTGTCCCATGTCCTTTTGCCCTGTTGCCAACATGTTCGATTCCGTAGCCAGAATTCTCAAACAATCTTTTAGGTAGCTCTTATCAACATGAGGCCGAATCCTCCAGTCATTCGTCCGGTGACTTTCGGGGGATATTACCCCCCCCCACCACAGACATCTACAACAGGGCCCAGAGGATCAACAATGGGGCTGAATACAGCCTTTGCCCCACTCGCGCCACTTGAGAGGTGGATTTGCTAACCGCAGACCGAGACCATCAACTTCCGTAATGACCTCATTCGGTACCATCAGCAATTTGCTGACTACCAGAAGATTTGTCAATCTCAATTGGATGTCCTGGCCCAACAAGTACGACAGTCTCACCAGACGCTTACTGAAATGCAAAATTCCATCATTGACTTACAGAATGCTCAGGCGGAGTTTGCTCCCAATATCGAGGACATTTATCGCGAATTGATTTCACTTAGCAGTCAGCTTCATGATCGAAGTGTGCCGGAGACCCAGACGTTACCACCACCGCCCGTCGATGGTGCTACGCATCTTCCTCCAGAGGATGCTTCCATTCAAAGAAGTCAATGCCCGGTGGCTCAGCAATACAATGGTGAAGTCCCCAGCGAGAACACCGGTCAACATCTCAGTATCAGTGGCACCCATCAAGCCACTACACCAAAGTCGGCACCTCCTAATCCTTATGGAGCTGCAATGCATCGCACTCAGATGGATCCAGTGGAGTACGGACCTAGTCTGGCACCCAGAGCATTGACGGACATCTTTGATTTGTCCGCCCAGCCGTACTAGACCTTGTCAAAACCTTGGGCCCAACTCACATGTAGTGAGAGTGGCGATTTTGATTGACCGACCTTTCAAGTAATTTTGCGCCCTAATTGTCAAAAGTGGTTGTATGCTGCAAAGGTGGTGTATGATTTGTTTGCTCATGATGTTTGCCAAACCATTGGAATTCCAAGTATATCATCCCTGACTTGGCTTACTCAGGTTCTCTGATTGTAGAGCCCCACCTTTTAGGATGGATGCGATTACCGATGGGTTCTTGAACAAGATCATTCAATTCGATGTCTTTGTCAGGTATAAGATGTCCTTCCTCATTCCTGATGTGTTTCTTCCCTTGGATGATCCCACATACAATGACATTTTGATCGCTGACAACTATGGTCCATCGGAAGACCCCCGTCAGTTGTTGATGCAGGATATGTATTTCCTTCTGGCGCAAGATAGGGTTCTTTCTTCGGTGGCTGCTTTTCGACATCGAGTACATGAGCATAATCCCTTGCTGCCTCAACATCTTGAGCAATTTGGGCCAAGATTCTTTGTGACCGTGATCAACTTGGACCCAAACCGAGTGTCTACTCTTGCTTCAGTTGATCATTGTTGGTTTCACGTATGTACCAGTCGTTTGATTCATGTTCAGTTCTTATCATTGTGCCGGATGATCCAACTATCCACACGCTGGAACATACCAGCGTCGGTGCGGAGCTTAGCAGAAGACGAGCGCTACCTGCTCTATGAGTTCTCTAGCCGCCTATGCAGACAACTTCGATTGGTTAATCTAAAAGATCCGCTACATGGTCAAGCTTGATTGTTTCATTCCTTATCCCAACTCTGCCGATCTTCTATAAAAAGAGTGAGTGCGTACATCAACTGGTTGTGAACTTTGCTTTGTTTCTTGAAGCTTTCTTACTGTCTTAGGCTCAATGATGATGATGCATTCTCTTAGTAGCAGTGTTGAGCAATGGAGTCGAGATCTTACCAGATTGCCTGATCATGCGCTCAATCAATCACAACGTGAGAATTCCGCGCTCGCTGAAGCTATCTTTCGTGAACAAGAAAGACGTCTGGACTACATGAAGTATCGCAAGTTTCGATTGCGATGCCATTGATTAGACACCCAACCTCTTGATGCATAAGGAGTAAAAGACTTTCTTGTGAATCTCATGCTTTGAGTCAAATTGAGGCGAACTTTTGCAGCTTCGCCCAGGCACATGTTTGCAGACTTTGTCTTGTACTAAACGCTCCGTAGCATTTTGCTTCCCATTGATTCCGTTGTTAGTATTGCTTTTGATTTCTTTAGCGTGGCGTCGGGTGGAATGCATTACATGATGCCACATCAAGTCGAAAACTCAGTGGGACGTCAAGTTC